TGGGTATCCCTCAGGATATTGCCTTCAGCTAGTCTGTTAAGGATGGCCTCCTTGATAATCTTTTCCAAGACCTTCCCCAGGATAGAGGTCAGGCTGATGGGCCTGTAGTTTGCCAGATCTACTTTCCTCCCTTTCTTGAAGATAGGCATGACATTGGCCTTCTTCCAGTCATCGGGCACTTCACCAGAGTGCCAGGAGCTCTCAAAGACCTGTGCCAGGGGCTGCGCTATGATACTTGCCAACTCCTTGAGTACCCTTGGGTGTAACCCATCAGGGCCGGCTGACCTGAAGGTATCCAGCCTGTCAAGGTGTTCCTTCACGAGGTCAGCTGCGATGGAGCTGAAAAATATTCTCCTGATTGATTTTGATGGGAGGAGAAAATTATCTATCATGAGTGGTTATTGGACATTTTTGAGGTTCTACTAGACTCCTCCAACAAGAACAGTAGTAGGGAGTCTGGGTGAGCTATTGTAGTCATCTTTATTAGCATGGGGAAGTTTTAAGATTCTAAGATTAACAAGATATGACCTTCTATGGTTTATAACAATCCTATGTGCCTTATATTGTACCTTATATATAAAGATTACTCTGGCTTCTACTCTTGTGTTTCAGTTGTCATGGGTTTTGCTAGTGCCTCACTTGAAGATTCAATTGGCAAAAGCATTGGAATTTCTAGGCGTTTTGAAGGGGACACTACACTTTGTGGATTTTCTTTGCAGATTGGGCTAGATTTCACTCTATGGCTTGTGCCCACCTCTCCGCAACATGAAGAATAGCAGAAAGTCTTTGCAGCTGGATATAGCCAAACAGCCTATAGACTGCTAATGTGAGTCAGAGGCCTTTCAAATAAAATATTTCTTACACATAAATCTTAACTAAAGCTCAGCACCTCTCTCCCAAATTGCTGCTCAGCAGCAGTCTCTCAAAGAGCATTAGAAATTGTTTGAAGTTTAAAATTTAATTCAAATAGTCAATGGTGTAAGAGAAAAAAAACATAAAATCTTAAAGAGCCATTTTCATCTGGGAAGACCAAATATACATGAGAAGAATAGGAAAGAATGCTCCTTTTTAACTGCACCATCATTAAAGGGTGGGAGTTTTGCTGATATTTCTTCTTAAAGATGAATTATTGTACAAAGGAGTTTCATTTGTGTATGCTTTATCGGTTAGATGAGAACTGAGGTCAGCTCCCCAAATAAAACCCAATTAGATTTCAGATCTGTATTCTTTCAAAACTTCCTTTTGTGTGACAGTCATTCACAAAAGAAGTCCAAGGGTGAAACTTTGTTCCCATTGAAATGAATGGCAAAACACCCATTGACTTCAGTAGGGCCAGGGCTTCGTGGAGAGAGGGTTTTGTCACTGATTTTGGTGGAAGCAGAACCTGGCACCTGCACTGCAGCATCATCCCTCTTATCTGGCCCTCTCACCTAAAACCCCTTTTGTCCAAATTCAGGTTTTATCCATTTATAGGGAAGAACTCTTCCTCCTATGCAAACTGTTTATTGGAATGATTTCTGTGGCTCAGATTTTGATTTGGGCTACACTGGTGTTATACTAGCATAAATGAGATCAGCACCCCAGCCCCTCCCTCTTATGCCAGATGGATGATTTTCTACAGTACTTGAGGTGCAAGCAGTTGGGGATAATTAGAAATAAACTATTGGAGATTTTATGTTTAATTTCATGAGACAAATATTAACATCAAGGAGCAGAAAGATCAGGACTGTAATGATCATCTCTATGCTGCTCTTATTGCTACCCCGTGACATTCAGCTCAGGTTGGAAAGAGAGTAATAGCAGTTGTGTGAACAAGTGCCACACCTGTTGTGCTTGCGGGACTAGGCAGCAGAATCTAAACAAATCCAATACAATCAAAACCGTTAAGAATGTGTGTCCTAAAATCTTGGAAGCGGAAGACAGATGAGAAAAATAAAGGAAGAGAATATAAACGTGTCTCTAGCAGTGATCACACTGGAAAAAACATCTTTAGAAAAATAATGTACCAAATCCCCCATTAAGCCAGTTTAAATGCTCCAGGGAGGTCAGGGGTAGGGGGAAGTATGTCTCAGTACTGAGGAGACCTCAGCTGAAGTATTGTCAGTTTACTCTATTTGAATCCCATGCACGTGGCCCAGGAGATAAAACGGGTGATGTGGCTGGGGGAGAGGGGCTCTGGTTGTCATGCTTTGAATATTTGTTTTCCTAAAGTATGTGTCTGTCTTGAGCAGAAATGCTCATTCCCATCAGCAGGAAGACAAGCTGTTGCTTTTCTTAAGGAGCAAGTTAATTCATGCTGCCCCTTCTGAACAAAGTATTTGTACTGTGCCTATTTTTAAAAGAAGAGATAATTGCTCTCAGGTTTTTCTCCTAAATTAATTTTACACTGGTGTAGTGTAGTTTACTGATCTACTGATGCAACTGAGTAGAATTGAACCTTTTGTCTCAGTTTACCAGTTGGTAAGGTGGGGATAATGCTTACCTCATGTGCATATGTCTTAGGATTTAGTTCATTTATGTCTGTAGAGGTTAACGGAAGATGAAGTGGCACTGCTAAGCAAAAGTGCATTGTCCTCAGGGAATGGCAGTGTCTGACTAGTTTTTGCAAAATAGAAAACTTGTGATGAAATGCAAAATTGTTTCTTTTTTTGGTAGTGAACAAAGCTCTGTCTCTATCTCTGTCTCCTACCACCCTCCCTTTTGAATGGAAACAAGAAGAATACAGTTTCAAGATAGTTTTATTTCTCTTCTCTGCACATCTTTGTGCGCCAATTTGGCCTGCTTGTTAGAGAAACATGTATTTTAAATTATTTTTAAAAATACAGCTAGATTGTTTTTAAAAGTAAACAGTTATAGAGACAGCAGGACAGGGACTGGATATCTACAGTGACAGGTGGGCTTCTCTGTGGAAAATCTTTGTGGAACTTTTGATCTTCAGTTATGGCCTCTTGAGTCAGAAGCATGGTGAGCTCCTGCAGCGCCCCGGGCAGAGTGCTGACCACTGGAAGGGAGTCGTGTCTTACCTGTCCTAGCTCTCTTCACACTCTGGAGGCAGCTGCTGCTGCATCTGAAGCTCAATCTTGCACCAACTGCAGCAGGGGGCACCGGAATGCCCCCTCTTTTCCTCCAGGACTCCAAGAGTCTTTGCCATGACCAGTGCAGCCCAATCATAGAAGCTGGGCAGCCCTGCACCCAGGAGTGTATGGGGTCGAGGTGTCAAATGAAATAGAGCCCTTCCCAGGAATTTTGCCGTGCGAGGTGCAGCTCCTTGCCCAGTGGTATGTGGGGGAGGGTGGTGAATGAGACACCAGGGTCCAGTCCTGTAGCAACAAAGTTTGGCCCCCGGGGCAGAGCCCGCAGCAGCAGCCTGCCCTCACTCCATGCACAGATCAGGGGGGCATATGACCCCCCAACTTGCCCAGGAGTACATGCAATGGTGGGAGCTGCCTTTCCCCTGTGCCCCCCGAAATGAGCCACTCACGGCTTTGTCCCATGCCCTGCCCCAGTCGGGCAGCACCTGTTGGCGTCCCTTTGCTTTGATGCCTGGGGCGGTCGCCTCGCTCGTGCCCCCACCCTTGCTACGACACTGCCTTTGGGAAGCCTGTGCCATAGGGTTGCTGCAGCTACTGTGTGGCATTTAGCTGCAGCAGTCCTGGAGCACCTCCCTGTCCATCCCCCGCCAGTTACTGTTTGGAATGGTCCAGGCATAGACTGATTGATAAGAGTTACAGCTGACGGCTTTCTGGAGGCAGATGTGAAATGA